AATACTATCTTAATGTTTTAAAAATGATAATTAAATAAATGATTTTTTCTTAAAATATGAAAAATAAAAAGAAAAAAAGCAGATGGTTGTAATATTAAATATTATATTCGTTGATTAAAAAAAGGTATTGATGAAAATCTAATAAAAGAATAAACAGTGTATTTTTATTTTGTTACTTTTGATTAATTTACTGTAGCTTTAATTAATATTAAAAATTTGTCATTACTCCTTGCATATACAGTCTGACACAAAGCCTCGTTACTCGTTGGAAACAGTTTTCTTTCAAAAGCTGCCAAAAATTTATACTACTGCTAAATTACGGCACTGAGGTTGCTGACGAATTTCGTCACCGCAAATGACATGTGTAATATTTTTTCATCATTTATATCAAATCTTCTGATTAGGTAATAACATATTTTTTAATATTTTGCGATACATATTGATTTAGGTTATTTTTTTAAATATAAAAAATGTTTGTTATCATTGTTTGATATCTATTAACATTCTTTTAAAATTTATTTAGATATCATTATTAATTTCATGAGTTATTAGAAGTATCTATTCCTACTTATTTTAAAGTGTTTATTTAAAATAAAAAAATATTATTATTTTAAATTTTATTAATTAACATAAAAATTATCTAAAAGAGTTACCGTAAATATTATTAAAGAGTTTCATATTTAAAGCTTTTAGAATTAAGACTAAATATAAAAAAGTAAACTTTTATTAAAAATTTAAAATATAATTGAATATATTTTTAGTTTTTAAATGATTTTTTTATTTTTAGTCTTTTCTGATTCATTAAATATGTTATGTGTTAATTTTTAGTTTAATTAAATGTTGGAGATTAAAAATAAAAATGTATAAAAATATAAATAAAAAATCATTTAAAAAACTAAAAACTTTTATAACATAAATATTAAAAATATAATGGTTTGATTATAAGGTGAATTTTGTTAAAAAAATTGTTGACAGAGGGGGGAACTGGAGATTACGTCACCTGGGGATTGTGGTAAATGGGGTTGGGGAGAGTGAGAGTTTATGGCGTTTGGAAGGAAAGAAAAGAAATAGAAGAGAAAGAGGGAACAGAAACAGGAACAGGGTTGGCAGTAGCAGCAGATCTTTTGCTTAACGGCAGTGATAATTCACCATTTACCGATAAATTCAAAAGCTGATCACACTAAATTCCTAGCACACTGAAACCCTGTCATTATTCTCTCTCTTTCTCTTCACTTCCCACTCTCTCTTTCTCGTTCTCTCATAAGTCCCACACCTTTCATGTTTGGATTGGTCACACAACACAATTTTATGTCAGCTGTGTTCCAAAATGTTTGATGCATACCTGTGTGGATATTCAGGATGAGAGAAATTTTAAGATTGAATCTACTTAGAACACACATAATAGTTTCTCTTATAAAAAAGCATAGATATTATTAACAGTAATTTTTTATAGAGTTTGAATATTTCTAAATAATATTTATTCAAATATATATATATATATATATTTATTATATTATTTTTTAAAAATTTTATTAATTATTTAAACTTAATTATTAAAGTTGAAGTTAATGTTTTTCTATTAGTTATTTGTGTTTTTACTTATGTCTTTCTTGTTCATTTATAAATTTTAAGTATAATCAATAAAATTTGTGTACTAGTTAACTAATCTAACTGACAAAAAGTTCATAAAAGAATATTATATTAAGTTTATTAATTAATTATAGTAAAATTATAATTTTTTAATTTATGTAATGTATTTCTTTATATAAATAAATAAAAACACATAATATTAAATAGATGCAAAGATTATTAAAAATATATATAAATTAAAATATCTTTATTTCTAAATTTGTCTAATTCTAATTATATTAGTGAGGGGTTGAAAGAATACAAGCAATCTCATGTACTCTACTCCATGAGGTTTTTTACAAAGCTATTTTCATTAAACTATACACAGGTTAAAAATAGTTACATTAATTTTTAATAATGTTTATACATTTATTCTTTCATTCATTTAAATAAATATAAAAAATGTTTATTATTTTATTTTATTTAAATTATATAATCTTTTATTTTATCTATTTATATTATGTTTTTCATTAAAAATAAAAAGTAAAACTTTAAGAGAAATAGAAATATAAAGGTGTGGGAATGAGAGAAGTCTTAAATTAAATGTAAGTGTTATGGATGAGGTCTATGAGTCTATCTTCACAGTGTCGTCTGAGAGACAAACCTGACGAATGCACGTGGTCTAACAATGTGTTGACTGCTTATCAGATTTCTGATTTAGGGCATTTCAACAGCCAAATCGTACGCATTGCCATTAAATATTCCAAATATGAGTTAACTTTTGCTGTTACCTTCTTCAGCCACTGGCCACTCTCTCCATCTTCCAATATCTTCTGTTACTCTCGTTAAAGTGCATGCATGTTTCAAAAATATTTTTTAATTTAATTATACAGGGAAATGTTGTTTTGTTTTCAGCATGTCTTCAAATTTTATTGAAGATTTTAGTTTGAATTAACTCGAATATGCCACGGATTTAAAGTTAATTAATAACTAGTTAGAGTAAAATTACTTATACTCTTAAAACTTTCCTAAAATTTAATTCAAAGAAAGTGGTGGGACAAGTTTATGTACTGTAGATTAAGTTTTACAATATTATTATTTTTTAAATATGCTATAATCTTAAGATTTTACAGACGAACAAAATGCTAATTAAATGACAGTTTATATCTTATTAAACAACAATAATAATCATAATAATAAACTTTTGAGAAAAATTAGATTATTTTAATTAGTAGATGTTTGTATTAATTTATTTATAAAAAATTGCTTTTTTTTTAATTAGCCCGTATGTGGAATGAGCTTTTGTTTTTTTATATAAATTAACCCAAGTACGTATTTAGTATTTTATTAACAAAAAATATATATTTCCTTTGAGGGATTTTAAAAATAGTATTAAATGTAAGCTAAATGGGGAATTTATAATATTTATCATTATTCAATATTTAATACAAACATTATTTAGTATTACCCCCAAAAAATTATTTAATATTCTTTGAATATTTTAAAAAATTGATTATCATAGTTCTCATTTTTAGAATATATTTTATCATTACACAAACAAATTTCATATTTCTAGCTATCATGATTTTTAATACCAGCTTCGGTTTTAATTAAACTAAAGATGGTGGCACATAATAGTTTATCAAAATGTTGATAGATATTAAATACATCAATTATAGGATAAAAAAAAAACATTGATTCACAGTATTTATGAACTTGTGTTAATTAATCATTCTATAATAAGAACACTTGTATGTTTTGTTAAGTAGTCTTATAAAACTATGACTGCTCAAAGTGTAACACCACCCAAAGCGCTAAACTTAAAGCAAAACTATACAATAACGACTCCTTTATTACATAATGTGAAAAAAAATTGTTTATGAAGTTATTTTAAAAATTATATAAATAATGTAAGTGTAGGTGAAAATGTTTTATCGATCTACGCAGTACCAAAACTCCTTTCCATCGAACAGACAGTTTCAAAGGCAGAAAATATAAAAAGAGTTAAAAAAATGCAGATAGGGAAAAAGGAGAGTTGAAGATCAAGGAAGGGCCCCCAACAACACTGGTTGAAAAATCGTGGACAGTGGCACAGTGTTTTGAGCTACTTGTGTATATATTTTACTTTTTCACTGCAACTTTAGGTTAATTTAAACGTCAAAGCTAAGGGGCATCATCATAATGATTGTGGGGTTGGCTAAGTGGTAGTGAAAGCTTCTTCATTCTCATCTGAATTCTAACTCTATCACTCAGTTGCCACGACAAAGGTAAAAGTACCTGAACTCATTTCTCATCACACTCACAACTTTCATATGTCCACACCTACAACGCCAACGATAAAAAAAAAAAAAAAAAAAACTGCACGTTTTCTTTCTTTTCTTGGTTCCTCCCCTCGAAACACAAGATTTTTATGTGTCGTTTCTCATCGCTTCATGTCTCTGCGTCGTTTTCCCCGTAAATTTAACGTACTCTCTGTCTCTTTCTTCGTCTTGCTTCTGAACATGTAACAATAATGCTTCTGCTGTAGCTCAATTTATCCGATTTTATTTTGTTATTATATATATATATTTATTTATTTATTTACGAAGAGAATGCTATGATGAGTGATATTAGATGTGGGAGTCAGCAACTAGATCCATTGGAAGAACGTTACAACTAGGTTTTCACTTGTTTAACGCTGTTGTTGTGGTTTACGTATTCTGAATGAGTGGTTTAGGTTGTTTTGTTTTGATAGTGCTAATTGTGTGGTTCTCCTTCAGTGGCGATTCTTACCGACAAAGAGATTGAGATATTGCGCTGTTTGGTGGTGCGTGGAAAAGGTGACAGTCATATCGGAGCATGTTAATTTGAGAGAATTATTGATTAATATACTTTTGGGGTTTGGTTGGGGCGGGGCTACCTAGCGAGTATTTCTTTGGTTGTGTTACAGCAAAATAAAGGTAGTGAGAACTGAGAAATTAAGGAAACTAGAATAAGGAGCTTTATCAAGCATGTACAAGGTGGGAAAATAGTAGTATATTATAGAAAATGACCAAGTTAAACCGGTTTCTTCACGCACAATGTTTTTTGGTAACTATCTTCACTCTCAATCTATGTCGTGCCTCATCTAATGTATTTATTATGTTATTTATTGCGGTAGTTTGCTGCCTCTTCTTCTTACTTTGCACGTCCTGTGCAATAATTTGTATATATCAAATTAAATTACAAATTCTGTCAGAAAATATAATTCTGATATTATATTAGATGGTTATGTTTTCTCTTTTTCTTTTTTCAATTAAACAGATAAGGTGATGTTAGATATGTTCTGTGCACTTTCATCAGAAAAAGATATGTTCTGTGCAGGAGAGCAATAAGGGTTTCACTGAAGCTAATATATACACAAGAGGTTTTGCCATCGCCATATTTTGGAGTGTTAAACTGGGTGGGTTGGAATGAGCGGTTCAAGACCTGAGTGTCACGTAGCACAGGAAATTCGGCGTGAGAAATTGAGAATCCATAACAGTTCGCAGCATTTACACGAATTCCCTAGCAATCTGGAACAGTTATCGTTACACCCGGGGTTTAACTTGGGTCTTGTTGAAGTGAGGAATGTTAGAAATGCCAACATGCTTGATGAACCTGAGCCTGCTGTTTTTTCCTCAGAAATGCCAAACTTTTCGACGGCTTCGAACCCTTTGGGTGCTCCAAGGAACGCGTTGGAGTATCATCAAGAACTAGGTGCAGCTGAACCGAGTAGTAGGCTAATGATGAATAATCAATATGGTTCATTTCCCCATTCCATCTCTGCTATTCATTCTTCCCAAAAAGAACAGTGTGAACTTCGTAATTTTGGAAATTGGAGGAACAGTGCCTCCCATCAAGGTTCTGATTGGTTCGTAAATTATGCGAGCAGTTCTCTTGTCAATGGAAGCAATGCGATTGCTAACTCTTTTTTGGTTTCTGAGCTCGACAATGTGGCTGGTTACAATGAACTTAATGTACAGTTTGGCAATGCATCTGATGAAATGGGTGGTACAGAAATTCATAAGCAATTAGGTGGGTCGCAGAATCCTCCTCCTTCTTCATCTCCGTTGTTTCAAAATGCTTTGCAAGATATTGTGAAATCAGCTTCTATCAGTGCCCACGGGCAAGACATGGCTTCCCTGACGCAACAAAATGGTCACGGCGTTTGGGTGGGGAATGCGAGCGGAGTTGAGATTCAACCAAGTTATGTAAATCAGCCAAATCAGTTGCGTTTTGGGTGGACAAATCGAACAATTGACAATACTATGATGAATGATTCAAATCCTCAAAGCTTATCCTTGTCACTTTCCTCGAACGCACAATCCAAGCCTTCTGTTTCTCAGATTGAAGAAAGGTCTGCATCAGATGACCTTCAATCTGGGTGTGGCAATATTTCAAAGGATCCTCAATGTTTGAAGCATATGAAATCTATTGTGAAGCCATCTATGATTTCTAGAGATTGTGGGAAATCATTATTTCAAGACACGGTGGGGATGCATTCAAAGAGTACTAGTTATAGAAATGTGGGTCCCCTTGGTCCTTTCACCGGGTATGCTACTATTCTGAAGAATTCAAGGTTCTTAAAGTCTGCTCAACAGTTGTTAGATGAGATTTGTTGTTTTTCTGATTCAAAATTAGCGAAAGCATGTGATGTTTCAGAGAGAGTCTATGGAGAAGTTAGTGCTTCTACTTCTATTGATACTGTAACTGTGAATGAAACTGGGGTTACTGCAATAGGTTGCAATTCAGGTTCTTCACCGTCTATGTTGTATATATCAAAGGAAAATAGAGCTGTTTGGGGAGTTGGAAGTAGCTTTGGCCTTTCTTCGCGGCTGGATTATCAACAAAAGAAAGCAAAGCTTCTGTACATGCAAGAGGAGGTTCGTTTTCACTGCTTATTATATGACCTTCTTTCATTATTTACATTCCTTTGTAACGCTTTTTCCATAATGCCTGTCAGAAACTTACTGTTACTGGAAAAAGAACAAACGCTTTTACACCGGCGTGTGCTGTAGTAACCAGCAATTCATGATTTGTAAAAAGTTAGGTTGCAAAGAGAAAATATGGTTTAACGTGTCATTGTCCAGGGAATATGGGGAACCAAAAATGCATCCTTGGTTACGTTTGAACTTGTTAATTGTTTTCTATGTGGTTCTATTTTTGCAGCTTCTTCGTACCTTTCGGGAATTGCTATGTTGCCTATGAAGTTTCCATATTTGTGTGATTTGTTCTAGTTAGTTCAAAGATAAATGTTTGAACTTTAAAATTCATAAAAGAGAGAGAGAAAAGAAAAGAAGGGGTACCGGAGTATTTGTCGTTCATCCTTTGTGAAAACTGAAAACAAAGGGAGGGGAATAAAGGTCTAATCACATTATCACATAATACAATATTATATTGTATGATATAATATATCGCCACCTGGTTTTTTTCGTAATGTTATTACGTTATCTACCCCTTTTGATTAGGTGGCCTCCTCGTGATCAAATCAAGACCTTTGATTTACTTTCATGTTCATTGGTGTGGTCTCTTTAATTGTTGCTCTTATCCTGTTCCCTTTCTTGTTGTCGGTGATTCCTTGACTTTGCGAGTCTCCTTTAAACTTGGCGTTACTTCATCTCGCTAACATTCAAGTCATGGGTTTCTTCATGCTACTCGAAAAATTTTAAAAAATAAAATAAAAATGAAAAATGACACTAATAAGGTCCAATCCTGCTATATATATGAATTGAATTTAATAATTTTCATGCTAATGCTCTACTTTTCTATTTGATGTATAGGAAACAAGTTCTTTTTTTTTTTTATATGACGATTATGATTCTTGACTTTGGTTATAGATTTCGAGTCTTGACTAATTTCTGTCATTCATAATGTTTATTATTTCACTGTTCATCAGTGTTTATTAAATTTTTCCTTTCCAAACTTCATTTCTGTCATTAATTTCTCAGGAGTAAATCCTCTTATTTACTTGATATCTCATGTATAAATCTTGTGTTTATTTCTCTCTTTACAAGGTTTAAACACAACCTCGTCACTTTAGAATTTGATATGAGATGATCCATCTTATGTGTCAGTAGTTATATATTCTTATCTGTCAATGTCATATATCTTGAAATTTGTAAGGGGAATTCTGAATGATTTAATTAAGTCAATCTCAGGATGTTACCAAAAATATGGGAAATTGTGTGTTTATCTATTTTCAACTTGCGAACAGTAACCATTGAGTAATTGAGTTTATTCAATATGCATGATTAATTATTGAAGCAATGGAAAACAAAATTATCAAGGTTTTTTTCCTAGTTTTGTAATTATCCCGAACAACTACTATTTAAATTACCTGCTCACTTGGCATCACGGTGGAATTTGCTATGCAATTTTTAAAGTTATCACTTATTTCTACTCTTGTCGACATCATAATTGGAGTGATCTTCTGTTGATGTCTTTTGTGAGTCTATACATGAAAAAAATGTCATGTTAATTCCGTAATGCTTCCATTCTCTACAAATAAATTACATTTCCTATGACTAGAGAATTTAAAGATGGACGACATTGTTTTACTCATGGTTGAGTAAGTTGAGGGAACTGTAGTTTCAGGCCTAGGAAAAGCCAAATTGTGGACGGTGCACCCAATTAGTACTTAGCTAATTTCCTATAATGTACCTCAACATGCTTGTAATAATTTTACCAAAAGCAATTGTGATTATTATTACTAAGATCAAAGAACATCTTTTTATTTAGCTTCATCATAACTTTACAAGGCATGCCACTGTAGTGCAGTTCCTTAATAAATCTAAAATTTGGTTGTAATTTTATTGCTAATACTAGTTATAATTTTTGTTATAATCCTTTTGAAAGATTGGTTTTGACGCTTGCGTTGGGATACTTATAATAGGTTACCAGGCAATGCAAGCAGTACCATCAACAAATGCAAATGGTTGTTTCATCCTTTGAATCAGTAGCGGGTCTCAGTTCTGCTACCCCTTACATATCCTTGGCTCTCAAATCAGTGTCAAAGCACTTCAAGTGCCTAAAACATTCTATCTCAGAACAACTCAAACTTATAAGCGAAGTGTTAGGAGAGGATTCTTCAATACCCAAAACAAGTACAAGTAGTAAAGGTGACACTAATGTGGCAAGGCTAAGATGCATGGACCAAAGCTTTCAAAAGAGCAAATGTGGGAGGGGTACTACAGACTTTCTTGAACCACAACAGCATGTGTGGAGGCCCCAAAGAGGCTTACCAGAACGTGCAGTGGCAATTCTTAAAGCTTGGCTATTCGAGCATTTCCTTCATCCGTATGTTTCTCTCTTATGTCTCTGGTTATGTGTTCCAATAAAAGAGAAATTTAGACTGAATTGTGGCTTTTTTGGCTGTTTAATTTCTTTTCAGTTACCCTACAGACACTGATAAACACATGCTAGCAACTCAAACAGGTCTTTCACGAAACCAGGTGCGGGCCTATGCCTTTAATGCCATCATTTTGCCTTTAGGTTTTTTATTCGGTTGATTGAATTGGTATAATTGACATTTGTTCTCGATGGTAGCTTCAAAGGATATTCGTAGCTCGGGCCAAATCTTTCAATATATTTTTGACTTTCCTAAATTGAGTGTTTTAATGTGGTCTCCCTCGTTCTTGTCTTGACTTTCCATCTGTTAATATAAACTTTATTTTTATCTAATTGAAATTGATCTGTCATTGTAGATATTTCAAGGGTACATTAACATTATGATATACCACTCTAATAAATGATTTTTTTGTGAAGAAAATTGATATATCAAATTTTAATGTATCATCACTTGCTAATGTACCTGTTATATCTGTATTTTATACTAATAATTTAATTTTAATAAAGATTATACTATAGTCAATTTTTGACATTTTCAGTGTTATTTAAGGTTACTTATTAAGTTGGTATCCTCATTAGGGTTGGATTTAGGGCCCGTTTGAAATAATTTATAATTTTATAAAAAAATTTGTTTATTTCGATAAGTTTTTTGGTATAATTTATCAAAATAAGCTATTTTTTGCCAATCTTGTTAAATTTCATGGAAAAATTAATGGCATAAGCTTTCATTTAAAAAAGCACTTATTAAATAATCGCTTAATTATGTCGTGTAATCAAACGCATCAATATTTTGTTATGCCTAATTTCTCAGTGTGTATAAGTACTCACACCCCGACTAATATGCTTCATGCATTTTATTTACTACTGAAAAAATGGTGTAACCCAATAATGTTGTAGGTATCAAATTGGTTCATAAATGCTAGAGTCCGCGTGTGGAAGCCGATGGTTGAGGAAATACACATGCTTGAAACAAAAGTAACAGGCCCCAAGGAGAACAGTAATGAAAACGTTCAAACTACTAGCACTGAAGGTGATACCAGCCAGCCAAGAGTGGATAAGCCTTTGAGCAAGTTTTGTGGTATGAATCCAGTACCTGAAAACCAGTTTCCGAGTTTGGAAATGAGCTCATCCATAGCTACCAATACAGAAGAAGAATGGAGTCAAGAGAAACGGTCAAAATTGGAATGCCAAGTGACATCAAACATTGATGGTACAATGATGGGTTTTATCCCATATCGACGTGGTGGACTTGAGGTTGGGGGAATTGGGTCTGTGTCACTAACACTGGGTCTTACGCATGGCGTTGAAGGTGTACAACACCAACAACAATTGCAAGAGGAGCATCTTAGACATCACCTTGGAGGGCACATGATACATGACTTTGTAGGCTGAGGAAAATTTGTTCCCATTAGAAGGGGAAGGGATGCTGTGGATGATGTGTTACTTGTTTACAACCATCCACACTTTGGTAGGCTTGCGAAATTCTCCACTGAAAGTTGGTGGCTAATGTTTAATGTTTGGTAGATAAATATAGAGTTGATGTTTGAGAAAGGTATAGGATTCGCATGTGAATGCGGGGTTATTTTTTGGGTCAAGCATTCATCGGTCTATGAAGTTTTATATTAACTTGATGTGGTTTTTGAGTTTGACAAAAAAAGATGAATTTTGGCATTGTAAGGTTTATGGAAATGTATTTGTGTATGTGATGGAAAGATTTCCTCTCCGACAAAAAAAAATAGTGAATAGAAATGTAATCAAGGAAACATTGTTCCTTGATTTGGTTTTAAGATGTTATTAATGTAATTATCAAGTTTTCGAAAGTTGCACGGTTTTTTAGAATTAAGTATATTTGAAAATAAAACCTCTTTAAGGCCAAGGTAATATTAGTATTAGATAATTATAAAATCACGTATCTTCAGGAAGAGTGGAATATCAGACCTCTTTATTGTTAATAATGGTTTTGTTTTATTATATATAAATTTAAAAATATACGATTTCATAATTAATGAAGAATCGTTAAAGTAAATTATTTAAGTTTCGGCATATCATTAAGATATTGTTGAAATTTCGCTTTCAGGGTTTGACATTTGGTTTATTCTTGTATAAAACAAACGAGCAAAGTTTATAATATTATATAAATAATATAATTCTACTTTGACAGGTACCCCGGGGGGGGGGGTGGATTGCTGTGTATCTTTTTTTAATATAAATATAATTTTTTTATTAAAAAATAAAGTTTAAACTGTTATAACTTGAAAAATCCCATTTCAGCCGCTCTAAAGTATGCATTTAGTGTTCTGGTGAATCTTCTTCGTACTGGACCCATGACATTTGGGGAAACATTATTCTTACTTCATTTTTTTAAAAGCACTTTCTATAGTATGGAGAGTATTAAAAACTAAAAAGAGAAGAAAAGGGAGAAATAAGATGAATAAAATAATAAAAAATATTATAAAACTTAATTTAAAGTAAAAACAACATTACTTGAACACTATTTTTCTCTCCACAAAAAGACGTAAAAACATCATTATTCTCCGTGGCGTGTTTATCATTAGATTAAAACACTTTTTCAGCCAAAAACTTGTACATACATGTTATTGTATAAGCATGAAGCCATGAAATAATCTGAAAATATCACCCCAAAGGGCAGTTTACGTTATGTCTGGCTGATATACTATGTTGCAAATTTTAGAATATTTTCTTTAGAGGTTATAAATGAACATCCCGAGACAGATGTATTTGTTTGTGAATAATACTAGTTAAGAAGACTGACCAAATATATATAGTAGAAGAAACAGTCTCACATCTTTATTTATTAACAAAAGGCGATTATTGTAATCACCACAATCGTTCTTTACATGCATCATATGCACTGAAGATTAATTTAAGGGTGCCACATACAGATACAGATACTGAAATACTATACATTCAGTTCTAACTTCTAAAGATACTGATCAGAAATTCTTGCGTCCGTGCAAGGAACCGCCAGGAGTAATTGCATTTGTACAGCCTAGTCCCAGTCCTTCGAATACTTTAATTTGCATTTAATATTTAATATTGCGCATAATAATTTCTCTTTATTTATCTACACATGGTCAAACACAGCAACAACCATTTAATGGTCAAACATTACAAGCCTTGTGCACACGTAGATCTACACACATATGTATATTAATTCTTCATGTACGTTACCAAGTACCAAGCAACCATATATATTAATTTCATTGATGTTTGGCATGGTTCCGATGAGGAATGTCCCCGGGATCATTAACTGTGCGTTCACCAGGACCTAATTTGCCATAACCCGTGTGAGGGATGTAACGATGATCATCATTATCGTCGGTGACCTCAAATTGACCAGATCCTGGTTTGCCATAGTCCTTACGAGGAATAGTGTGATGATCATTCTGGTCGCTTAGTTGTTTGTTTTCCGTGTCTAGCTCTTGCTCAAGGTTTCTATGCATTTTGGGCCCTATGCTCTTCCTCTCTAAAGCCACACAATAGCTTGCCAGCATCAAAACTACCAGTGCAATTGTAACAAACCTCATTCTCACACCTGTTATATAATATCACCTTCACCTTCCTGCCTCTGTAGTAACTGGATCTAGCTTAGCCACAAAAGTAAAAGTGATCATCACAGCGATGCTCTTTACTAACAACGACTATATTATTCTAAGCAATGGACTATCTTTCCCTCCAAGGATCGATCATGGAATTATGTTAAGGGCAAAAAGAAAAATCTTTAAATTAAAAAGTACGGATACAGTATATAAACAGTCAGATATGATAAATTTTTAAAGAATTTTTTTAATTTACCATTAAAAATTGACATTTCTATATGTCTTTTTATATTAAGGGTATATTTTTTTAGATGCGTGTATACAGAAAAAAATTAAGTGAAAAATAAAAATAATGATATACAATATTATTTACAATGTTCTTGTTTAGTAGTTGAAATAAAATAAAAAAACTGATTTAAAAAATGAAAAGATATGATATAATTAGAATACAATGTATAAAATAAATTCAAAATGAATATTAAACAAATCAAAGTTTAAATTGTTAGAGAAATACATTTTAAAATTTTAAAAATATAATGAAATGTTTTAATATGGTATTATAATTTATTGTATTGATATAAAAGTTGAAAAACAAATGAAATACAATTAGTAGTATTTGAAGTATTGCATTGTATTCAACCTAAGCATATATCCAATATAAATACATGTCATGATCACTGCTCAAAAGTATTTATATTTCTTTAACTTTGACATATATAATTATATTAATAAAATATAATTAAGATTATATTTTTTCTTATAAATATAAAATTATAGACACATATATACAACATCAAGTACATATGAGAATACTTAAATATTGTGACAATGAAAATAATAAACACATATTATTAAATTTTATTTAAATAATAAAAAAAAATAACACTCATGACATTTTAAAATAATTATATGATTATTATTTAACTTTTGATTTTAATCACTTATGGATAATTATATGATCCATATTTATAATTCTTATATTATTTAAACGAGAACTATTCTTATCAAACACATCTTTATATGTGTGTGTGTTACAAAAATAATTAAAGTTCTTATCCCTTCCTCTAAGTGTGCCATGAGCTATCTATAGGATTTAAAATAAGGCAGAGGAAGAGGATGCATATAGTGCGGATATGAACATAAATATACGAATGGTTTTGAAAATAACTAGCATGACATGCAGTTATAACTCACCAGGTACTTGAATGGTGCTACATATGCATGTATAGTCCAGTATGAAGAAGAAAGAAGAGGCGTAAGCCACTTTTATAGGGGCACGAGAAGGCTATATATGGCTCAATGGTGAATTCGGAAGTCAACTTGCAATTATAATGGTGGGGTTGTGAGTTGTCTCAAAATGAGGCAAAAGCTTAAGTGCGATACCCATTATTAAAGTTGCTATTCAACATGATCAATTGATGAAAATTTCTGTCTGAATTTACATATATGTGGACAAAATAGGGAAATTCCACCTAATTCAGGGGTATTAGTTACGTTGATTGATGTCAAAAGTAATTTGGCATCGTTAATTCCTTCCATTCTGCTTATAAAATTGATATTCGCGGTTGCAACTTGACTGTATAGTTGGGAAAAAGACTGTATAATTCACATAACCATTTTGAGGATTACCAGATTGAGGGTCGATTTCCACCCAAATCATTTAGCCTACACTATAGGCCATCTTCATTTTAGTCACTTCAATTTGTACATTTATCTCATTAATTTCAATACGGGTATCTTGTTTGCTCCTCTTGTACATAATATAGTGCTGTTTTACTAATTATGAATTTGGTAATTAGTAAGAAAAGACAATGTTTTCATCATTGATTCGATTGAAAGAATGATAGTGCATAAAACCTGTTTCTTAAATTGAAAGATACAGATCAATGGATGATGGCAGTGGGATGGAAAAAATCAGATCATATACGTTTCCAAAGTCATAAGTAGTATCTTTCATTTATGATTTTAATTAAAAAAAACAAATTACAAAGGTGGTTAAAAAACTTTCACTTTTGAGGAGTTGCAATATTAACGTTATAGGAGTTTAATTAAGCTTTCATGTTGAAAATTATTCATGGAAAAGGATGATGCTAGCATAATAATATCATCAGAAATACGTCTCACAAACATTTAAATGATGTAAAAAACCTAAAAAATAACAATTAAGTAATAATAATAATAATCAAGTGTTTTAAAATATTAGTTAAAAATTTATAAATAATATTTTTTATTAAAATGTATGCTGATATATATATATATATATATATATATATATATATATATATATATTAAAAAACACGAAGGTAAATGCAGAGTTACATTTTATATTAAGAAATTTGTAATTTTTATATATTTATTAGCATTTTCTTAATAATTGTAACAACAATAAAGGAGTGAGATGTCACATAAAGAGGGAGTTCTGTATGGGTTGAAGAATATCAAGGGATAATACAGGCTAAAAAAAGTATGTAATTTTATATATTCGTTTTAGAAAAAAGAAGTAACTCGATGTACATTCATGATGCTTTATTTGACTTCTTATTGATTTGATATAAATTTATTTTATTTTATTGTTGATTATTAAAAATCGACACCATGTTTAAAATTTACTGTGAAACTTCATAAATAGTTAATATCTTTATTATTAAAATTCAAAGTTAAGGAATCAATTGCTTAAATTATTATAGGTAAAGAGAACTTAGATGCTTATCTCATAACTTTCCTTAAAATGTATGTTATTTTTAATTTTATTAAGATTGCAAGTACTTTTAAAAAAAATTAATATTATTCACAGTGAATAAAATTATGGTAAATAGAAAAATTCTTCTTTAT